TTGGGAGGTTCTGAATGAAGCTTTAATTCCAATACCATGAAATTATTGTAGAAAAAAAACAGGAAAAATTATTAAAACAATTTTGTTTATAGGCGGGACAGAGTCGTTTGCCCTTTTCAAAAGTAGTTTTGAAATTCGATTAGCTATCGGAAGCCCGTCCTAGTTAGTCCGGAACTAAAGTAAATGTCAATGACCTTCGTTCGCTATTTTTTTATGAAATTCTGGAACGAAAAAGGCTTTTCAGGACAAGCTTCGCAACAAGCGATGTTGCGAGAAATGATTTCCCAAATATATCATCTCTATACGTTCATCTCTATAAGAAACCTTCATCTCTATATTCAACTAATAAATTAGTTGAGTATTTCTTGATAAAATACTATATTTTTTTATTTGAAGCCACTAACTCCTCAGTGGCATTTTACCTAATCCACATACAATGAAACTTCCTTAATTCGAAATATTCTTCTGCTATGTATTTTTATCACTATAAACTGAATTTCTTTATCTCTACAACTCAATTATTTCTATAACTCAAACTGAAATTTATGAGTAACCAATCCTAACGCTAATTTTTCTAAACTTTAGTTACTTTTATGGACACGTAACTGCTAGTTACTTTTGGTAATAGGACTCGTTATGTTGGACTCGTTACTTTAGTTACTTTAGTTACTCGTTACTTTGGTACTTATTGTCGTTACTTTATAATCGTTGTTTTGTGTACAGGCTGGAAGACTTGGGCTTGATGTGGAACTTCGTTACTTATTGTGCGCGGCGATCTTCGTTGCATGCTCGGTTTAACCTATAAGGGGTTTCCATTTTCTTCTACTGTAAGGGCTTAATAGGATAATTTCAATACTCGGTATTCAAGTACTGAATAATATGTTTTTAATAATATGTATAATATTTTTATAATGATATGTTAAATAAAACTATGTACTATTAATAAAATTAAAAATAAAAGAAAACAAATCAAACAAAGAAAATATGTGTATTATAAATAAAAAGTATTTTTTTATATTCTCTCTCTCTCTCTCTCTCACTCTCTCTCTTTGTATCACATTAATAAATAGGCAAACATTAAAGAGTAAAAATTTAAAAAAATGTATATATTTTTGTTAAAATGTAAAAATATTAAAAAAATGTATATTCCTCTGTGGCGGATTCATCTCTTCAAAAAAGTCCTTTGGATTAACGCAGCAGTGTTTACTATTTAAAATTACTATTTTTATTTTGTGGATTTTCTTACAGTGTAGGTGGCGAAATATCTATTCTCTTTTGAAGAAGAAAAATATTTGCTCTGCTTTTTCAGATGTTAACATTTTTTGTGACTAACGTGAATCTATTTTTAATAATATCTAAGATATGTTAATCTAAATAAACAATTCTATTCTATAAATAAAAAGCGACAACGAACGGCAAAGGGACAGCCCTCCTCCGGGTCGGCATGAGCCAATCCCCATAATAATTGTAATAAAAATATCACACATTTGCCATCCAAAACACCGGCCGGCGTCAAGTCAACATTTTAAACATAAACATATTGATAACAACTAGACCTACGTCGAAGTAAGGAATATTTCAGTATCGAGTCCTCGGTTCGTGCATTTCCAGGGATTACGATTACTGCCGGCGCAAAAGTAACGAATTAGCTTAGTAACGAGTAACGAGTCCTAAATTCAAATAGTAAGCGTTACTTCGAGTCCTCGTAAAGTAACTGTTACTTTGTAACGATTACTTAGAATTTTTACATCACTAGTATTGTGCCGTAACTGAATTTGAATGGGCACCGACCCCGGCATCTTTCAGGCAAAAATCTACGCTATCGATAGATGCGTACAACTTAACTTAGATAGGAACAATCGGAAACAAGAAATCCATCTTATTCGATATTCAAGCAGAACTAAAAAAGCGATCAACTCACTAACCATCAATTCGAAGTTGGCCAAAGAATACCTAAAGAAACTAAACAAATTAGGCAAAGACAACCTCCTACTCTAGGTGTCACCCACCAAGGGATAGAAGGCAATGAAAAATCATACGATGTAACTGGAAAAGGAACACTCCACTAACTGAACCAGAACCGTTCTGCTTCCCAAGCAGAACTCAAGAAACTGGAATATGGCCATCTGTAACCTGAAATGGGAATCCTTCCATGATCTAAAACCCTCGTAGAACTTATACGACCGAAAAAAATCAGAGATTTTCCTTGATTTAAGAAAGAACACTCTTCGAAGTGTCACGGGGTTTTAACAGGATGTTGTCTCCTCAGCAAATGCCTCAGTAGATTGAAGCTAAGAAATAACGGCGAATGCAGATTCTATGGGGAAAATGGAGAAACACCAGAACACCTCATTACAAAGTGCGCCGAGACGACAACCATTCGTGCCATGAACTTTGGTACTATTATGGTACGATTGATATCGGAGATGGAGAATTAACCTCTGTAAAACCGTTCCAGATACTGGCTTTTGTCAACAATTTTTGACACAAATTTTATCACACCAAGCTCAAAAGTATCGCAAACTGGTCCAAGATCATTAGTCCCGAAAACAACATAAATATAGCAACCGAAACGGTGTACTATTAATTACAATAATAATTAATCATTTATATACTATTAAAATAATAAAGAAGCAAGTTGGAGAGGTTTATTTTCAATTTTTATATTTCTAAATCATTAATTTTAAGGTTCACCTTTCTGGCGTCTTCATTATTGCACAATTCTCAAAATATTGCCACTAAAACAAACTTTAAAAAGATTTCGAAGAGACATTCAAAAGACATTTTTTTATGAAAAGCCCATGAAAAAAAGGAATTCAAACATTCTAATAGTTTCTGTAATCATTTTTTTTAATATATAATATTTTTATATATTAATTTTTTTTATTGGAACTACCGATGTGGCCAAAATTTTTCAAAAATTAATCTACCAGAAATGTACGTCTATTTCTTTAAAGGTGTTCACAACACGTATTCTGTTTTGATTTCAAATATAAATTACTTGTCAACCCCTAGCCATATAAGGTATATTAAACTAAAAAAATATAGTTTTTATCTAGTCCTAAAGATTATAAACCATCGCGTCGTCTTGGAAGATCTTCTACTTCGTTGGTTAGACTCTCAGAAATACTCACGAAGTCAAGAGCCTATAGTAAAGCTGCTGATGACACCTCATTCTCTTGCAGTAGAATAAATCGTTTTCCAATAAATAATCATTAAAATATAAAACTGATTTATTTTCCAAAATTTGTTGACATGGTAAGAAACAATTATTATTATACAATAATTGTAATATACATGAATGAATCGAAAAATTATAGAGTGTAAAATACTACACTATATTTGATTTAAAGCGCTCCGTTCGAATGTCATGAAATCGGTGTAAAGAATACAACGAAAATTACTAAAACAATTTAATTCGGAGCCGTGTCCAAGTTTGCCCCTTTTCAAAAACTAGTTTTGAAATTCGATTGACCATCGGAAGCCGTGCGCGATCTAGTTCGGAACTAAAGTAAACGTTAATGCCCTTCGTCCGGCTCTTTTTAATTAAATTCTGGAACAAAAAAGGGTCCAGGGCGCTTATTGGAAAGGGATTATTTCCAAACTAAACCGGGAAGAGATCGAATATGAGATTTTTTCGTCGATATCTCCACGTCGATTTTTCCACGTAAGTTGTATAGTTCGCCAAGTCAATTAACGTTTCCCTATTAAGCGCGATTATCCTGAAAGCATACGTTAGTTTTTAACATTGGTATTTAAAAAACAGCGTTGAAACCACCTCTTATATCGTTAGAAAACACTAGATAATAATTGTTAAACTTAGAAATAAAGGCTATGGAGCCTTTATATTTTATGGTAGGAAGCGGTACTTAAAGGGGGACTAATAGAAAAAACCGCACAAAAGTACACGATTAGCAGCTCTAGGTACTACCGGAGCAAGGAACAACACAGTACAAGCTGCGCTAGAAGTGATTCTCGACTTGCAATCAATCGAGTCGTGATGGATCTGACCGCTAAGGGTGGCCTTAGATCCAAGGGAATCCCGAAACCAGACCAACTACGGTCACTCGAGGACATTGACAATGATAGGAAAAATCATGGGGAACACGAGTCCACATCTGCTAGACCAGAAAACGGACTATTCTCACCAAACATGATTTTGGAGAAAAGATAAGGATTCGCATCCCGACAAGAGGAGAATGGGAAACCAACATAGTAATGAACACTCAAGAGATAGCAGTCTACACAGATGCTTCCATGACTTCAGGAGGCAAAGGTATGGGCATCTTCTCAGAGGAACTAGACATCCGACGATCTATAAGGCTATCAGATAGCTGTAATGCTCTACAAGCAGAGGTTTAAGCTATAAAGGAAGCGGGTAGTTGTATACGAGGGAAAATCGCTGATAAAGCAATAGGAGATATCGTGATATACTCTGACTGCTTGGGCACTTTAAAAAGCATTACCATGCAATCAGTGAGATAGAAAACTGTGGTAGACTGCCGAAAAGCACTGTCCTGGCTGCGTCAATGCGGGCCAGGCGGTGTTAGGTGCCTGGCTACAGCAATGTGGTGGGCAAGTAGGAAGCGAACAGACTCGCCAAAGAGGGGGCCAGGGGAGAGGTTGTGGTAGATGAGCCACCACTTATGACGATCAACACACTGAGGTGATTTGATCATCATGCTAGTTCCTATAGATATATAAAAAGCTATAAGCGGTATAGGCATGTGAATACCGACCAAAGATCACTCTTATCAAGCATGTATAATGCATGTATATTTCAAAAATATTGTATAAAAAATAGTTTTGAAATATAATTTAAAAAAAAAACGACCAAAGAAAAGTAAATACCGACCAAAGACGTATTTGGCCAGGACGACCAAATACCTATCATCCACATCCCATATAAAATATCCTTCAAAAAAACCTATATACAAAATTGTTTTAAAATATAGTGTTTAACTAGACCTGTTAATTTTATCATATCTCTTTATTTCCAGGCACTAATTTGTTTATGGTGGCTGCCCATGAAATAGGTCATTCCCTAGGACTGTCCCATTCTAATGTTGAAGGAGCATTGATGTACCCGTGGTACACGGAAATGAAAAACGGTTTCGAATACGAACTTCCCGAAGATGACAGATTAGGCATCCAATCTTTATACGGTAAGTTTCACATACTTTTGCGACCATAAATGAATACTAAAGTATGTATGTCCAACCAGTCAGGGAAGATTTCGACACATGACATCCAAAAAATGTCAGAAAATTTAATTTCCCTGCGAATTAGGATCACAGACATAACTGTTACTGTCATAATATAGCCTCTCGTTGAAATATAATAATATACAGGGTGGTCCGAATTGTATTCCAGAAACTTCGGCAGCATATTCTGCAGATAAAAATAGGTAAAAAAGGTCGTATAAATATATGTTCTAAAATGCTTAGTTTCGGAGATACATAGACCTCCTTATCAATGAAAGAGCCAACATATACAACGGACAGGACAGAGCCACGGCGCGAAATTCCCTAATGGCCAATTGGCAGGAGCGCTGGAGGACTAGTACAAAAGGCCGATGGACACAGAATCATCAGAAACATTAGCAACTGGCAGAATAGGCACTATGGGGAGGTCGACTACTATCTCACTCAGGCCGTCTCAGGGCACGGCTGCTTCAATGCATTCCTATTTAAAAGGAAAAGAGCAAATACGGAGATTTGTATATACTGTGAAGCAATAGATGATGCTGAACACACGATTTTTGCCTGTCCTAAATGGCACGACGCAAGACAGATATAGAAGAAGGTACTGGGGAGGCGGTTTACTCTGGAGAACTTTGCCTTGGACATCATGGGAGAAGAAAATGTATGGAAGATGACCTATAATGTTGTACGGACGATCATTAGGACCAAGGAACAGTAAATGAGAACTTTGGGACAAGTAGAATAGTAAGCCAGCTACCACGTTGAAGTAATGCGAGAGCAATTCCAGCGTGGAGCATGGATTGGCAAAGGGGGGTTTTTAGTCGGTAAAAACCCGACACCGCCCACGACCATCCAACATCGGGTGTCTGTTGAAGATTTTCCCCTCCATAAAAAAAAAGTTTCGGAGATGTAGAAATTTCATTTTTATTTCGACTTTTTCCAAATAATTTATGAAGTAACGTCACTGCTTAGATGTAAATTGGTGTCTGGGAGTGTTTTGACATGAGAAATTTGATTTTGATGTCAATATGACTCCTACTGGTAGAGGGCGCCACGTACATGTCTTTTAACTGTTTTGAAGCATAATAACTTTTTGTCCGTACCCGAATAAAACTACCGAGGGAAAAAATATAGATCTCTGTGATTTTTTACGTAAAAAATATCTCTTTATAAAAATCGCTACGAGCAACCGTTCTCACGATATTTAGAATATAAATAGTCAATACATGCCATTATTGACGAAAAATAAACACGTTGAGTAGATAGTTATTTCACTGTAATAATAAATTTGGGGAATTTTAATTTTTTTAAATTAATCATATTTTTTCTGCAAAAAAATAATGATAAAACAGTTTTTGTTGAACTTTTGGTACAAAAACATTTAAAATTTATGATCCCACTCTAATAACTATTTATATAATCAACATGTTTAATGTCAGTGATGACAGGTATTGATAATTTCGATTCCAAATATCTCGAAAACCATTACTCGTAGCGATTTTTCCCAAGAGACCTTTCTTACTTAAAAAGCGTCGTAAATGTATATTTTTTTACTCGGTAGTTTTATACAAGTACGGACGAAAAGTTATTACTATTACTCTTCAAACCAGTTAAAAAATATGTAGGTGGAGCCCTCTACTAGTAGGAGTCATATTGACATCAAAATCAAATTTTTCATGTCAAAAAACTCCCAGACACCAATTTTAATCCAAATATTGACGTTACTGCAGAAATTACTTGGAAAAAATCGAAGTAAAAATGAAACTTCTACACCCTGTATCTCCGAAACTAAGCATTTTTGGACATACATCTAATACATCTAAAATACGAACATTTTTCCTTATTTTTATCTGCAGAATATGCTGCCGCAGTTTCCGGAATACAGTTCGGACTACCCTGTATATTAGAAACATTGTAAAGCTACACTACTAACTTCTAACTACTCTTCACTAATAGTAGAATATTTATAGGTGCCAGGGATGAGAAAAAAAGGGAACGTATACCACACTATCCACATCAACCAACTTATTACAGGCCTACCACAACAACCACTACAACTACGACAACAACGATGAGGCCTGTGACACGGCCGCACCATAAGTATCCCTACGATCCGAGAAATCCTTATGGAAAACACCCGCACGATCCTAGAAACCCATATGGGTATTATCCCAACAGGTATAAAAATACTATAAATATAAAAAAATTGTATTAATTGTGTTTAAAATCATTTCAGATCAGATAAATCCCCGCAAAAACCAATGCATCCGAGTAAGAAACACCACTACTATCCGACTGGTAGTAACCCGGATCACAAGCCTGACAAGAAACATTATACTCCAGGATATGATCCGAATCGCAAATCAACAGCAACTCGTAAGTAAAATGAATGATTTATTTCACACGCATATTTCATGATATACAATATCTATACCAGTTGTTCTTTGAATAGTCCGTGGATATTTGCCTATAGGTTTGTATGCATTACTACGTTGATTTTGTTTTGTAATTCAGATATTTGTGAATATACATGATGTGTGCCATGTGTCAAGTAAAATAGGTATATCCACTATCTATACTCTATACCATCCGTATTTTTATATTAATAACAAAGAAAGTCCAAATTTACATTGCCCAGATGATGTCATTTTTCCGAGCATTTTTCGGTCCTATCCTAATTATAAAAAACAATATCTACCGGGTGCGTCTCAAAAGTGGCTCACCTTTATAACTTTTTTATTTTTCAGTTAAAAAACGAGATTTGTTATATGACATAAATTAGGATTGATTCACCTATACAATTGTTTTCGGTCACTTCCTGTTTCACCGGAAATGACTACAACTGTTGATTTTTAAATGGCACCCTCAGTATTTTTTTATCTTATTCGATAGAAAATAACACTCTGAATAGAATGACATATCATATGTATGTCAACTTTTGACATATTCACATATGGTTTATTTGAAATTATAAACGAAAATTTGACGCGAAATACCAAGTGTGTGGTATCAAATTATTCGTAGAAAATTGTTTTTTCCAAATATGCTAATGAGCCACACTCGTTCTATTTGAAAAAATTGAGATATGATTAAAAATACGATTTGAGCATTTTCTAACTGACCAGGACAAGACACTAAAAACATTAGACGATCAAATCTATTTTTCCAAGACTTGTTGATTAAGAATTATTGTTTTTAATATAGCCATGGCACTCTAGATTGAATTTTAAAATACGATTTTTTATTAAGCGAGAATGTCAAAAGTTGACATATGTTATTCTATTCAGAATGTCATTTTCTATCGATTTTTTTATCCTATTTTTTATCCTAGATATACCGAGCGTCTATTTAAAAATCAAAAGTTGTAGTCATTTCCGGTGAAACAGGAAGTGACCAAAAACAATTGAATACGTCAATGAATCCTAATTTATGTCATATACTAACATACCAAATCTCATTTTTTTTATCTGAAAAAATAAAAAAGTTATAGGGGGTGATCCACTTTTGAAACGCACCCGGTATATCAATATTACGCCACATCATAGAGAGTATTAATTATAGGATACCTAATCTGTGGTATTAATAAGTTATTTTTCCTTGCAGGTCAAGATTATCCCTTAGTAACGAAACGGCCATACACCAAAACTGTAAAACCGCATCACAGGAACCAGCCTCACGTCACTCACATACCCACAGAAAGGACCACACGTTATGTTCCTAAAGAATATCCAGGAGAGCCACCTCCAGATACTTGCGATACTAGTTACGATGCCATTGCAGTAATAAGGAAAGAACTGTTCATCTTTAAAGACAGAGTATGTATTACCTGTATATTTTTATTATTATTTGTATAAGTATTCATTGAGAGATTGATTTAATGTAGAACATGGCTGTTGACTTGTGATATATTCTAATTCCATTATCAAATAAAAGATCGTTAAAGTACAAGTAGCAAATGTTCATAATAAAGGCCATATTTGCTATCAGTTTGTATCACAACAAGATGATTTTCTGTACCATTTTTATTAGAAGTTCTAGTAATATCTGACTGGGGTATACTCTGAACAATAACAGGTATATTATGGGGCCGGTCATGTTATAAACATTATATATGTCACTGCAATATTACCACATTTCGAGTTGGTGAGCGTGGCTATTTGGAGGGTGATATTCATTGGTAAATCCTAGGTTTAGCGCGTTTATCCTAGGTTTTACCGCATTTCGGACATTTACAGTAACATATATACATACATACTGCCATTACTCGCTGACGAGTATTTGACACGCATCAGAAGATGGTCACGCAAGGCGTTTTCTATCATGAGCTTTTCTGTGACTGAAAAGCATGAGCTTTTCTGTGACTGAAAAGCCCGATACGTGATGTTATCTGTCTACCGCACTCCGGTCATTCAAAATTCTCATTGCTTTGTTGCCTCTTTACTTTTTGGTTGTCGCTGTTAACTGAGTTTACAATTCTTCTCCACTCCGTTCTATTGTGAGCTGCTTCTTCCCATTCATTCTGCATGTTAATAACAGATTTCAGTGAAAAAAAAATCCCCACCATCAAATCATTAACCATAAAACGCAAATGTCAGACCAAGATGTATTTACCGTGTCATTTTTAAAAGTACCTTCGTAGTTGTAATACTAGGGTCCACATTTCTGGCCTTGGATGCCGATTTTCGTGTGTACGATTGTACGGCCAACACGCTTAGTAAAATAAGGTGTACTCAATAGACAGAAGAGCAAGTATTTTTCCATTTTTGTATGTACGAAGAGTACGGTCAACACGCAGCATGCTTAGCGGTGACTGGTGCCTTTCATTCTACGCCGTCAAAAGCTATGGAAACCCTACTCGACTTACCTCCTCTTCAAATTCTTTTGGAGAGAGAGGCGAGATGGGCTACATATAGGTTTCTAAATATGGCACGAGAGAGCCAAGGAACAATCATGTTCATACAAAACCGACTAGTAGATGAACTACAATCGGATGAGATTCTGGGAATGGTCTCGGATCTCACACCACCAATCCAACTCTTGACGCGCACCTACAACGTCCTGTTTCCGAATAGGGACGAATGGGATAAGCCGAGAAACGGCTTATTACTTGCGGAAATGTGTTGGTACACGGACGGATCCAAAAACGATAAAGGATCTGGCGCAGGAATTTACTGCAGCAGTCCAAAGACTGAGATCTACCACAGTCTTGGAAAACACACCACAATTTTCCAAGCTGAGCTATATGCGATTGAAACCTGTGTGCAACTGCTGGTAGAACAGCAATACACCGGGAAAACAATAAGCATATTTTCGGATAGTCAAGTCGCGTTGAAAGCACTTGAGGCAACGAAAAGCACGTCCAGGACGTTGTAAGAAACTACTCAATATATTAGGAGATGAGAACAAAGTGTCGCTAAAATGGATACCGGGACATGTCGGCCTAGAGGGAAATGAACGTGCTGATTCCCTCGCCAAAACTGGTGCAGGCTCGCCATTCGTGGGCCCAGAACCGACACTTAGCGTACCAAAAAATCTCGCAAGAGACAGGCTCTGTGAATGGGTTAGGGGTGCGACGTTTCGGGACTGGTATGACAGTCCCGGAATGGAACATGCCAAGACAATCCTAGCAGGGCCATCCAAACGTAGAACAGATGAACTCCTAAAGGCTGGTAGGAACGGAGCGCGTACGCTTACTGCAGTATACACGGGCCACTGCCGGCTGAGATCACACCTACAGAGGATGGGACTGGTGGAAGACGCCGAATGCCGACTCTGTATGGAAGATGACGAAACAATGAAGCACGTTATATGTACCTGCCCCGCTGGGGGCAGGACCAGGTTTGAGGTGTTTGGCAAACCCACGCTAGACCTATCAGACCTAGAAGACATATCACTCTCGGACATAACGGCCTATGTTAAAAGGCTGGGTCTTGAGGGTGAATATTAATGCTCTTTTTCTATTAAGGAGCTTGTAGAAACTGAGCCACAATAGGCCCTCGCGGCCGCAGTTACTCGCGGCCTCAGTTACCACTCTTAGTCAAATACAATACAATACGGTCAACACGCTTAGTAAAATAAGATGCACTGAATAAAGACAGAAGAGCAAGTATTTTCCCAAGCGCATTTCCCAATTCTAGCATCTAGCAAGTGGTTACGCAATAAATACTTCGCATTTTTGTTCTCTCCGACTTACTAGATTACCATAGCGATTCACTCCTATATATTTAAACACCGACCCAAGGTTTCGCTTGCCAGGATTGTATATGACTATTAGACGCATATTTTAAAGGCTACTTATACTGTAAACATATTTTATTCCCATAAACACCACGAGATATAAAGTATATTCCTAATCCATAAGAAACGACAAACATGTTTCAGACAAATAAAATCTCCAGCATCAGACAATAGCTATGGTGACTTAAATATGCACTCAGAAACAATTCCATTTACAGTTTCATTTTCTTTTCAAGAAATTGCAACTAATTGTCAAATAATATCTGAAAAATCACACCACAAAAACAACGTTTACCAATAGACACTAAAAAATTTTAAAACATTTTAGTATCGGATATTTTTCTGTAAATAAAATATTTATAAAATATTTCAACGTAACTTAGAAACTAGAAAGTATCTCTATAAGTTTAAAAAGTGCAAGTGATAGTGCACTGTACACACAGTAACACTGTAGTAATTACTAATAACCCAACGTTCTAATCTTTGATACAACACACAGACTAAATATGTTATCTGTGATACTAGTAAGCATATTAAATATGTTTCTTTGTTACAGTATTTCTGGAGAATAGGTGATAATGGACTTGTAGAGAAAAACTATCCTGCCGAAATAACCCGTCTATGGAAAGACTTTCCCAAAAACCTCACCCACATTGATGCTGTATATGAACGTCCTGATGGCCATATCGCTTTCTTCATTGGAGATAAATATTATCTGTTTGCTGGATTGCGGGTAGTTCCTGGTTATCCCAAGCCTATTACTGACCTAGGTTTACCTGTCAGCTTAAAGAAAATTGATGGGGCCATGGTATGGGGCCATAATGGGCAGACTTATTTTTACAGTGGCGACATGTATTGGAGGTGAGATATTTGCTTTTTTTAATTACAAATAACTAGTAACAAACGCCTTTCTAGTAGTTATGATTTATAAGTGTTCAATTTTACGTCACTGCAAAGAAATACCTAATTTTTTTATACAGGGTGGTCCGAACTGTATTCCGGAAACTTCGGCAGCATATTCAACAGATAAAAATAAGTAAAATAGTTCGCATAAATGTACATCCTAAAATGCTTAGTTTCGGAGATACAGGGTGTAGAAGTTTCATTTTTATTTCGATTTTTTCCAAAAAATTTCTGAAGTACCGTCAATATTTGGACGAAAATTGGTGTCTGGGAGTTTTTTGACATGAGAAATTTGATTTTGCTGTCAATATGACTCCTACTTGTAGAGGGCACCACCTACATATTTTCTAACTGGATTGAAGAGTAATAGATAACTTTTCGTCCCTACCTGTATAAAACTACTTTGTAAAAAATATACATTTACGACATTTTTTGCGTAAAAAATCACGAAAATGTATATTTTTTCATTTAGTACTTTTATACAGGTACGGACGAAAAGTTATTAAACTCTTCAAAACCTTTGAATAAGAAGACTAGGGAAGGACTGATCATTCTGATTGGTCCTGGTCCGGTCGTAGCTCACGTCGTATTGTCGGTAAGCAAAATCCCTGTCCAAAAATTTTGACGATCAGCGCCATCACCCGTCATAATTGGGAAACTTTTGCTGGAACCATTTTGAATATTTCTTATATAAAAAACTCCCAGACACCAAATTTCCATAGTGATGTAACTTCGGAAATTATTTGGAAAAAAATCGAAATAAAAATGAAACTTTTACACCCCGTAACTCCGAAACTAAGCATTTTAAAACATACTTCTATACAAACTTTTTTACTTATTTTTATCTGCAGAATATACTGACGAAGTTTCCGTAATACGGTTCGGACCACCCTGTATATTCCTTTTTGAATCCAAATTCTGTATAAAACAAATTTAGTATCGCATGTACCGTATGATCGAAAAAAAATCTGCGTCAAAGACGGCTGGGAAATGACAATCGATAATAATTTTGGCGAAGTCTAAACTAAAAATTGACATAAAACCGTCATAAAACTTGTACAAAAAATAACACTAATTATAGAAAGATTAAAACAAGTTTTTTTCAGGAATATGGACGTTTCCAGACACATTTCCCAAAAATATTTTAACTACACCCAGTGGCGGATACAGAGGGGGGCCCATGGGGCCAGGGTCCCCCCCCCCCTAAAGTCTCTAAATTGGGTTAAATATTAGGCTTTTGGGTTAAAAATGGCGTCCTAAAAAGCATATTCTACATGATTTTTTATTTGGCCCCCCCCCTAAAATAAATTCCTGTATCCGCCCTGCACTACACCATCTAAAAATTATTTTTGCTCAATATAAATATAAATTATAGCCATCTTAAGGCCAGCGCAGTAAGCACCATTAAAGAATAAAAAAAGTATGGCCCAAGTAATGACGTCTAGGGCTTGACCTCATCAAAATTATCATCGGTCATTTCCCAGCCGTCCTTACCGCTGTTTTTCAACCGTATGGTAGTTAATTAAGAAAAAACAACTATGGAATAATAAATTATATAAGTGCCTCCATTCATATCTCTTGTTTGTTTTTTTTTTCATGAAAAAATAAAGTGGAATAATTTTTAAAATATATTTTTTATAGATTCGATGAAAGTGTACAAAAAGTCGAACTGGACTATCCAAGAAACATGGCAATGTGGAACGGAGTCGGTACTGATATAGATGCCGTGTTCCAATGGAAAGATGGTAAACACTGTCATATTAATTATTTAATTCATTAAAATAATTAATTGCTGTAAACTTTTAGGTCGGACTTACTTCTTCAAAGGCAAAGGTTTTTGGAAATTCAACGATCAACGAATGAGCGTGGAACACGTAGAACAAAAACCTTCGGGGCCATTTTGGATGGGTTGCAAGCAAAACTATGAAGAAAATGGTTTAAATCAAAAGTTACCATATGTAAATCTAGCTAGCAGATCACACAAGACAGATCTCAAACTCTGGTTGATAATACTGTTTTCAATGGGAAATCTAATTTTAAAAATTGTCTGATAAGAATCATCTACACTTTGGTTGAGAAGGCTGATTATAAACTAGCTGATATAGACAAATTTTATAAAAGACTTATATGTTTATTACTATTAAACCAAAACCTTTCTCAACTGTGAATATATAGAGACAAGATTACTAAATTTATAATTTTTACATGCACATTGTGATAAATGTCGACAAGTTGCTTCAAATATTACATAATGGAAATATTTCATACGCATTGCGCGTTTTAAAGCTTTTTGTACAGTACTTTTTTAATAAATATTAGGCCTTCAGTGCAATATAAGTATTTTTCCAGAGGCGATTTTTATATGTCTCAAAAAAAGGACTGCAAAAATATATTTTTCTTTACTCAAGGTATAGATTGATACTGGTATTTATTTTTCAATATAATCCATTGTATACCTTGATCCTATTAAGAATTAATTTTAAGACTGACGTTTAAAAAATTTTAACGTAAACTGTCTCTCGCACTGCCTCCTCATACATTTTTTGCATCAAAAATTTGTGATAAAAGTATCATACATTAACTAAACACACATTAACTAAGTTCATACTTGATTCTTTAGTCTATATTAATAAAATTTAGATATAATTGTTTTATTAATTTTATATTATTGTTTATAAATTTCTGTGATATTTTATACTCCTTATAATAACCACATTTAATTTTTGTTAAAAAATACAAAGGAATTTTTACATATACTTTTATAATGCCACAGTCACACATCTTTTTAATTTTAAGTAGGCCCATTAGGACTTATCTTTCAGTAAGAGTAAAGTAGTGTATAATATATTGTTCAGTCATAATACTTTAAATACTATCCAATTATTTTGTATGAGAACGTTTTAGTTCTCAAATTATTAGTAATATAATATTGTAATAGACATTAGAAAACTTGGAGAAATTTCAGGTCTATCAATGTCTTCAAAATATTTTTGCTATTACTAAAAACTATTATAAAAATTGATACTTCATTACCATAATAAATTTTGAAAACATTGATAGCTCTAATATTCTCTTCTAACTGATTACTATATGAAACTACATTGATTGTAACAAATATGACCAAGCAATGTATTCCATCATCATCAGTCAGAAAATAACACATCTATGTAAATAGAATAGAATAAACAAAATTAAAAATTTGATATTTATATATATTTTAAATAAGAAGAAATTTTAGTACATATTTATTTGTTTTAATTATTCCCTATGAAAAGAAATACCATATAAAATTCATAAAAACTTTATTTTATATATTTTTGATAAAGAAAAAAATCAGTTAAAAACAATAATTCAAAAATATATCTAACAAGATTTTATACATAAATATACAAAAAAAAATAATTACATTATTTTGTCAGGAGTTTTTTTCAAAAACTCGAATCAGTTAAGTTAAAAAAATATTTAAATCAGTCCTTTGGAAGAAACTTAAGTATCACCATTTTAATGTAAATTTTGGTCTTTTATCCAAATTAAAGCATGTTTTTTTTTAAACTAAATCTAACATGAGATTTGATAAAATACTGTTATTCCAAACAAATGCAAGACATTTTTTACATTTCAGAAGAGTTTAAAGACAAATTACTATGTGTTGAATAAAAGTTAAAACAGCACTGTTATTGCATATATACTGTACATTCTCTTTTACTTATATTTATAGCTTCCTTAAAAACTTTACCTAAATTCATAGATTTGTATTGAGTTCTCAGGCACATGGGTTAAGTTTAAAGATTGATACCTAAAAATATCCAAACAGTCTTAAGTACAAATTCTAATTAATTAATTTATAAAGCGTTAAATAAATAACTTAATTATAATGATTCGGGCCTTACCATTCTGAACTTCGATGGTAATAATATCCTTCAATTGTAGCTTTCGATTTTTGAAAGCAAATATAATAAAAGCCAGCAAAACTGGCTCCACTAATATCTTTAATAGTATGATCGGGAACTAAAAAATGTTCCTTCCACCTCATAAACACATAGTCAGTGTCTGTGAGTTGATTATAGTCAAATGTATCAGTATTAAATGTTTTAACATATTGACTAAACTGTGAGAATTTACTCTATAAAAAACCATTATATGCTTTGGTACGATATAATAAAAGTTTCCTACTTACCCAGTGTTTTCTGTCTACTCCCTCATCGGCATCCCACTTTCTCGTTAAAAATGAATACTTTTTACTAATTATCTCGCCATCAAAAAACGTCGTTAACTTCGGAAATTCTTCTGTTAAGCCATTTATTTGTAAGTATCCACAAAGATATGAATTTTCTTCATCGACATGCTAGAAAAAAACAAGAACAATGTATATTTTAACTTGGATCAGTTGCAGTGTAAATAAAGGGTTGGAAAAAAAACCATCTAACCTCAATTTAAAGATTTACCGCCAAAATATGTTGAAGAATAAATGTATAAATTGTATATTTAATACGTAGTCCCTCAAATTTGCCAAAATGTAGCATAACTTTCTATTTTTAGATGCTAATCTCAAATCAAAACTGAAAGCCCTAACCTATATTTATTCGGAAATATGATTTTACAAAAAATGCCCTATATCAGTAATACCTATAGCTAGTTATAACACAAATATATAATTACCTGTAAAACTACTTCAACTTCATAAGAATTTCCTTTACTCTTTTGAAATCCTTGGAATCTCGAGCCATTATAGAGCAAACTCTTTGTTATTCCGGGTTGCTTAGAATTCGCTGGCGGTGGTAAAGTGGGGTCCACTTTAACGGGCATACTTCAGGAACTTTCGATCCTACTTTTAAATGTTTTTTGGACAAACTATCCCGAAAAAATTGTTTCTCGTTAAAGAGAAAACTAGGATGACAAACAAAACTATCTAAAATGGCGCTTTTGCCAGTGGTAACATCGAGAACCTCCATGTCAATGTCAAAAAGACAGTGCCGTATGAGCATATTTAGAGAATTTAAATGAAGTTAAATAAGAGTTAAATCAATTATAAATCAGAATTAAGACAATTTTACAATTTATTACGGTGCCTTCTCTTAAAAGATTTCTGTATTTTTCACTAATATGCTTTTTAGGCATTTTTCTTAGTACGAAATAAATGCAAAAAATTCTAACGAGTTACCACTGGTGTAAACGTTCAAAAAACGTTGGAAAATCACCGAAGTTACATAAAAAACAGAGAGATTTTCAATATACCTAGCTTTCTCTTTCATGAATGCAAAGCGGAATGAGAAAATAATAATTATGATAATAAATATTTCAAAACTGTAGGCAACCAGTAACTCTTAGCAGTGTTTTAAGAGTTGCCGTTATATAAAACCCATATTAAAATAATAATTCAAAAGCTGTACTGAACAGCGGATTCAAATAATAATTATTGATAATAAATAATTAAATATAAGGTATATTTAATAGATATTTTATACTTATATATAGAAAGTGAATTAAAATTTTAGTATAAATATTATGAAAATATGATAGAACCTTGTAAAAAAAGAAAATAAGCGGCAAACATTGCGCGTTTCCGCTGTAAAATTAAATAATACATGGATATGTTTACTAAAAGTAAACTTTTGTAATGTTTATGTCCGAGTTACATGGGCAAAAACCTTTACGATGGAAGCCGATCCATTGGCAAGTACTTTTAAACTAAAAAGATTATTTAAATGTACCGAAAGCGCAAGTGGGAGAAGGCGACACAAGGTTAAGATAGAGCTTTATCTTATATAAAAACCAAACGCGAACTTCTAAAGCATTAGTACCGAAGTTCTTGTGATTTGCTAAAATGCACATCTCTGTAAGTAAATGATTTTTACATTTAGTGCCTAATGGGTTTACAAAATTAAGTTCATGAAGACTTTTTTAATTTATAATTTTTTAATTGATTGACATTTTTTAATAATTATTTTTATTATTATTTACTATGATAAATAAAAAAATAAATAAAATGAAAGTGAAAATGTATGAATGAAAGATCCAAAAAATAAATTATAATTTAAATGTGTTTGTAATTTGAAATAATACATCCATATATTAATTATTATTAACTATATTAAAGATTTACAAAATTTTGTTTTTAAGTAAGTAACTGCATTGAAAAATCAAATCATTAAATAAAAAAATGTGACAATTAAATAATTATTGCATTAATAATGGTAAAAAAATATTTGTTTGAAATTTTTCAGAAATGTATTTATTTTGTTTTATTAAAACTGTATTCGATATTTAATAAATTTTTCTGTTAGAATAAAATTGATTTAATTTAAATAAACTGTTATTTGTAATGTAATAATTATACAGGGCGAGTCTTAAATAAGTGCAAATATTTTAGGGGTAGTATATTTCAACCCGAGAAACACGATTATGAAGTTTTTTTGGTTAGTTTTCGAAAAAAAAACTTGAAAATTTGAAATTTTTTAAAAAGGATTTTTTTATTTGGGGTTAAAACACTTTATGTCTTGATAGTATATGGCATCATAGGTAGTAGATTAAGTTTACAAAAAATAAAATCCAGAAAAGATCAAATGGTTCTCAAAATTTAAGCAAAAAATATTTAAGTAAAATAACTCGGTTATTTTGGATATATTATTAAAAAAACGGTAAAGAAAAAATATTTTAAAGTTTCTGTTATCGAGATCTACCAGCCCTGAAAATATTTGCACTTATTTAAGACTCACCCTGTATATTTATCTAAACAAAAAATAGATAATCAAAGAAATTTCTGATTTTCCGAAAAAACAATGTACCAGTTTATCAAAAACAGTCAAAAAATAGTCTATAAATAAACACATTTTAATTAATGTCAATAAATATTAGAGAAATACACTATAGCCATTTTTCGAGCTTTTAGAATAAAGTATTATATTTAATAACTTCAGTTGACTAAAAAAGAAAATAACCAAAATTAAAATTTTTTGGTAATACCGTACTTACAACATATCTATCTATTTAAATATGTATGCCGCATCCATAATATTATTATATTAGACATTTTTCTAGGTAAATTAAAAAAAAAATTATAAAACATAATTGTCTATGACATGATAAATCTTATTAATGTAATTGGTAAAATAATTATTAATTTAATTATCACCGACTAATGAGTCTCAAAGTTTAAGGTGCTTGCTGTGTTTAATTTTTTGTAATAAAATAATTTAATTTTTTAAAGCTGATCTAATAAATTAGCATTTACCCACGTTGAAAATAAAGTAAACTCATAAATTTATATGTCATTAAAACCACAATATCGGAGGTATGTTGCAAAAAAGTATCTAACTAAAGGCATATTTATTTGATAGTTTCTGAAATATCACCACTATTGAATAAATTAAATCATGTTTTCCCCTCTTTAGTTCTTGATGTATTTAATAGTTTTTTTCTTAATCTTGAAATATTATTTAAATATCGCAAATATGATGAAAGCTAATTAGAAATTTTTATTGATATAAATAACTTAATAAGCTGTGAATTTGGACCAGAATTTTTTATATATTATCAGAAATTAATATAATAAAGAATTACAAAAGTAAAGATATATAAACTAAAAAATAATAATTTAAACTAGATTTTTTTTGTTTAATTAAACACCTTTCTTTTGTTAAACCATTGTTTTTTTACGTAACTCTTACGCGATGGCCTATTGTAATTTTATGCAAGTACATGAAAATTCAATTAAAAAGAAAGGTGTATTTCCCGTAAGTGCTAAAACAAAATCTAGATTACTAGTAGTCGCCATGTAATGTCCCTTACAACTCGAGTAATTCAGTATTCTCCAAAAAAAAATATAAGTAGTGCTAATCTCATGTTAAATCATCACCAGATGCTTGTGATACACTGCCTTTAAGTATTGTATTGTATTGTATATACCTATCTGGCTGTGCAGATACCTATCTGCTGTGATAAAATAACTTATGTATATATGACACATATAATTTTACACATCGAATGTCAACGATTTTCGTGGTAGGTAAATTGATGCCATTTATTTTTTAAGATTATTCCTTATTCATAAAGTTTTTATTGCCAATTTTAATCAGTTTCCTGAAAACCTTTCTATAAAAAAAAACATAACAACTGACTGATGAACAATTAATATATAACCACCTATAGTAAAGCCGCATACTTACCAGACGCTGATGCGGTTTGTCGATGCGTTTCGTCAATGCATCGATTTGATGCGCCAATGTCCATGAACAAAATGGACAAATTTCAACAAACTAAAAAAGTCTATCAAGGAACCGCATCATACTCACTATGTGTGCATAGACGCATAGAGTGTCACTATGTGTTAATTCGAACACTAAAGTCGAGAAATTTAAAATATTTGTTTTCTTAATAATTCAAATAATTTTCTTAAGCATTTGCCTTAATTTCTTAGAAAATATACTTATACTTACTATAAATATACTTATACTTATACTTTCGACCATGAACCTCATCCATTCAAATAATTATTCATTATAATTATTTAACTAAAAGTGTGCCCAACATGCATTTAATTTATTTTTCATCTAAAATATTATATTTCTTGTTATAGGAAATGCTATGTATATAATATTGTTTCTATAATACTAACTGTATTGTTAATATCTTTAGATATTCATCGTAGTCACAGCCCTTTGCACATCAGCATATGCTGGTGGATATGGGTTACTAGGGGGTAGTCTTGGTAGTCAATATGGTTCCAGTTATGGGGGTGGATACTACTCTGGAGGTGGTAATTACTACACAAGGCCTTATTATAGTCAAGGCGGATACTCCAGGTAAGAATAGAGATTTATAGTATACCTACATACGTTACTTAAATTCTTATACATCATACTCTATCTATAAGTTATCTCTGAATGTGGTATACAATGATTCGGTATTGAATCTAAAAGTTTCACAAAATATAATAGTCAGTGGAAATCCGAAATTCTATTTTCTATCCCGAACTTACTTAAAGAGTGTGTAGTATAATAATTATTAGAAGACGACTCCATTAATTTGCATTTAGGATTTATCTAAAAAGAATAAGAAAAGTAAAAAACGTTGTTTAGTTTTCTAATTCTGTTTACTTTTCTAAAATGTTTACTTTTCTAATTCTCTAATACTAATTTATAACTGATCATTAAAATAAAGAATATAATGTATATACATGTAGGCTATGTAAAAAAAAACGTTCTATCCACTTTTTTTTACTTAAGTGTTTGGATCTATACCCAAACTATTCTGTGTATAATTCAAAAACTACGGAGAAATAATATTGTTCTATAGGAGCTGTAGAAAATTCCCATACCTAGTTCTGATATCTATTAAAAGCATTCTGTTTGGTTGCTCGTACAATGGGCCAAACAAGGTATCTGTTAAGAATTTAATTTTTACGTATTGTATTTTTAAAAGTAGGTATGTAAGTTTGTAAGTATTGTCCTTTTTTGTAAGTATACTAAAAAGAAGATGATCAATTATATTTTAAATTCGATTTAAAAAAAAAGATTGTTATTAGTACTTCATTAATCTGACGTGATGCTCTAAATTTATATGTGATATTCAGACCAACACATTGGAAAATACAGAGAAAATATCTGTGCTCTGCGATTGAAATTTTTATGAATTTTGTGATGTTCTTGGAGAACATTGGTATTATAATAATATTCGCATTAATATTCAGCGCCCGTACAGGATCGTTTAAAGTCAAATTGTATTTTTTTTATTTTCAAAATAAAATAATAAATTTTAAGAAAATAACGCAAACTATATTTTTTGGAAAACCTCAAGGTTGGAATTTGCGAATAAATTAAGAAGGACATTTTTTGACAATTCTAACAATAAAATACGTCTATGTCCATTTATAAGGGTTTTCTCCTTTTTCTAGCTGCTCCCAGGGTATTCCAGTTAGAATTTTCTTTGGGATTTATATAAGATGTTGCGTTTTGTATCCATATTTCCTATAATCTGCGACTCATGGGAGGGTAGTAATTCTTTCATTTTTATAACTTTATATTGTTAAGACAAATGAAATAGAATTAAAATTGTTATAGATTTACTATGCTCACAGCTAGGCAGCTCTTTTTAAAGATACCCCCATAAGATATGTTAATAAAAACTTTGTTTTTTTTTGATACAATATTCCTATTCCAATTTAAAATTCCTCATTTTCAAAATGTCCTACTTACGTTCACGTCATTAGGTAAAAATATATCACATATAATATCAGGTCATATTGCATTATGGCAAAAATATATTAAAATAATTTTCGACAAAAATCTCCGGAATTAAGGACGCAAAATTAATTTTGCAACCGTCAGATTACTAATTGAAAAGTTTGTTATAATATATATGTTATGGTTAAAATCCGATGACCGGTTAATGTCGACATTAACACGTTAATGTTTGGGTTAGGTTATGTTTCTGGTTGTTTTGTTGTATGTTATTCTCGAGATTAACCGGGTAACGTCGACATTAACCGGACATCGGACCTTAACCGTAACATATATACCTACTTCAAGACTTCAAGATACCTTCATTATTTTATTGAAATTAATTTATCCAGGAACTAAAATTTGACCTTTCATAAAATTGTATTCAGTTCCTTTTGCAAATAATCACATGTTATTACATATAATTAAACTTATGTAATTAGTTGTTTTAATACATCGTTATTACACTTAATAAGAATGTTATTATTTAACTGTATCTATATTCTAAAATCTCTAATGATTGAAAGCATCTACTTATTTTTCTTTTTTTTTCCGAAAGAAAAATCTGTCCGACATTACACTAACAGTCTCTTTGTTTCCAGCCTTATATTTTCACCGAATATTCCATCTTATTATCTTAGTTTTTTTTCTCATAATTATTTTTCGTTAAATACTTTTATTTAGCTTTATTTTTTTGGAAGTTCATTCTTATTTTCTTTGATAGAAAATTTAGATATGGTAAAAGAATGTTGCTATACATAACACGCATTTTTTTTTGCCGACATTGTGATCTGACAGGAACTGAGTTTAAACCAATTTTAGTTGTCTTCGTCTTCAGTTTCTTTCCCGCATGGCTTGTTTTTATTTATCTTTTTCCTTTTATAATAAAGGGTGATCTTGCAAAATAAAGCATTATTATTATAATTGTATTTTCATGGTATAGTCTGCGTAACTCACTCATCGGCTCGATGTACTTCCTTTACATATTTTGTTCATTTACCCCAATGCTGGTTTCTGCTAAAGCAGAAAACTTGATGACAAATTAGCGTGTTCATTAGTCTAGCTGAACAATATCGAGCTTGTTACATTGGGATTTATAGTAGAAAAAGCTTATATAAGTCCCAGTAGATATTGCAGCTATCGTTCTCGACCACATAATCAATTGCACTTGGAGACGAGTGTTTCACCTATTGTCTCAAATGATAATAGAAGCATAGAATTAGAATTTAGAATGAGTGGGAGGGGAGTTAATCACTGCGACCTTCTATTGTGTCCCCCTTTCTTGAGTTATAACTCATCATACAGTCCCAGGGCTTTTTAGGCTTTTATTTCCCAGAGATTTTACATGGGGTAGTTCTCCATCTCCAATATTAGTCGTACGTTCATGGCACGAATGGTTGTCGTCTCGGCGCACTAAGTGATGAGGTGTTCTGATGTTTCCCCATTATCCCCATTTTCCCAACAGAATCTGCATTCGTCGTTTCTTCTTAGTTTCAATCTACTGAGGTGTTCATTGAGGAGACAGTGTCCTGTTAAAAACCCCGTGACAATCCGATTATTGTTCTTACTTAAATCCAGGAAGATCTTTGGTTTTTCTTGGTCATAAGCCCTCAGAAACATCTTAGAGTGTCTTAGACCGTTGCAAGATTCCTACTTCAGGTTGCGGATGGAGTTTTCCAAGTTCTTGAGTTCCGCCTTTAGTTGGTTATCGCTTGGGAAGCAGAACGGTTCTGGTCGATTTAATGGAGTGTTCGCTCATTTTCTAGCTAGATCATTTGCTTTTTCATTGCCTTCTATCCCTTGGTGAGCAAGCACCCAGAGTAGGAGGACTTGGTTTACTTTGCCTAATTAATAGAAGCATAAGAGCTACACTATATTGCTGATAATAAAGGCATAGTAAACTGACTGCAGTACATATACACGTGATTCTACTATTACATCATCCTGATACGCCCAATAAGAATAAATTCATTGCTGTTTTTTTTTAATAATAAAGTTATTAACCCTTATTCATTTATTTAATCTTTTTATTATGTTAGCGGTTACTATCCAGGAGGAGGTGGATACTATGGAAACTCTTTAGGACAAAGTGGAATCTATGGTATAGGGTTTGGAAGCGGCCTTGGAGGCGGCTACGGCGGTGGTTATGGTGGCGGATTAGGGTATGGAGGCGGTTATGGAAGTGGAATAGGAAGCGGATATGGTAGCAGTTATGGAGGTTCCTATGGAAGTGGCTTAGGATACGGTAGCGGTGGATATGGAGGCACCAATTACTTAGGTGGCTATGGGGGAGGCGGTTATGGTGGAGGGTATGGAGTAGGCTACGGAAGTGGATATGGAAGCGGGTACAGCGGTTATAAACCAGGATACGGAGGAGGTAAAATACTCTAAACTAAACAATTTAATATTTTTAATCTGTGAACTATTGTAGGAGAAAAAAATTCGGCAACTTTATATTATATAGCGTTATATACAGGGTGGGTCTTAAATGAGTGCAAATGTTTGTAAGAAATATAATTTCTCTTTACCGCTATTCAAATAACTCAAAAATAATCCAGTTATTTTACTTTGAAAATTTTCACTAAAAATATTTTTTTTGCTTAAATTTTTAGAACTACTGGATCTTTTCTGGGTTTTATTTCTGGTAAATTTAATCTACTACCTATGTTGCCATATTTTCAAGAAATTATGGTTTTTAACTAAATCTAAAAAAAATAAAAAATACCAAATTTATAAAATGCGATAAAAACCCCATTACCATGTTTCTGGGGTCGAAATATACTACCCCTAAAAATATTAGCATTTATTTAAGACTCTATACCCCTGTAAAATTATACTTGCGTATAATACGCAATTATAATAACAACGGAAAATATTATTGCTTTTTGTAATAAACCCTACAATTATAGAAAACGCTGCATTTTTTGTCTAAAACGGTACTAGGCATCAAGTTGTAGCTTTTATTCCTTCTTCTAGTATTATAGTTCTAAATATGGCGGAATTATAAATCCTCAAAACCTTTTTGAGGATTTATAATTTTATAATTTGAACGAAAATTTGGCTATTCGAATTCCAAACCAAACACTTGAGTGATCGTGAAACAATCGGTTTGTCGACACAGTCTCCTCATATCCCGTTTGTCAATGTACAAGATGACAATTTGTAAAGTAGCTAGCGGGAACATTCTTTTATACAATACATATTAACAAGAATATCTCAAAAACATATCGAGGGATTAGAAGGAAACCTCTTACGTCTCACTTAAGAGGTAGCCACCTCCACTTTTTTTAAAACGAACCAACCTGGTGTGGTACACCGTTGAAAAGCTCGTTCTTTTTTACTACGCTCTTAATTATAACATACTCTTAAACCGCACGGTTAGTTGATGAAATATTAGTGTTTAACAATAAGCAACATATTTTCAAAACTCACTTACAGTTTTTACCTCAGTGAGACAACTAGGGGTGTCTCACTGAGGTAAAAAATGTACATGTATTGCCAAAATATCCCTTTACTGCCAAGCAACTGCCAAAGACTGCCTATGACTGCCATGTAATTATTATAGGCGCCTGCCGTAAGACTGCCAATGATTGCCATTAATTTTGGCGTTCTGTTAGAAAAAAAATTCTATAAAAGTATTTAAATTCCGATCAGAAAAACAAATGTCCCTCCCAATAAATCGATATGTATTTAATATCTTCCCTTTAGTCTCTTTGCCTAAAAGAAACGATTCATCGTCATCGTCGGTGAAATGTGATAAACTGCTAACTCCATTAATCCTAATTTTAGAGGAGAGAAAAGAAACGGTACTAGCAAGTATATTCATGCGTTAATATGATAAAGGGATAACAATAATATTTGTTGGGGAACAATCAAACTCAACATTTCCTTAAAAATTTTACGTTAAAAACGATGTATTAAACGTATTATTTACTTAAAATCAAAAATGGAGTTGGCAGGTTTCACTGACGTCATACTTTTCAATAAGTAGCCCTCTATAATGTTACAAGTCATAACTGATATGTAATATTCTTATATTAAGATCGGTTATCTTGAAAACTACATTTTGAAAATATGAATCACTTAAAAAAACTATTTTCTGCTAAAAACTACTGAATTGGGAATCCACAAACACCAATTTAGACGCCGAAGAAAAAAATCTCATAAAATAATGATGTCTAATAACTCCACCACACAGACATAGGTATTTTATAGACAAAGGGATAGACTTGCTGGAGAAAGAATTATAATTTAATTAATTGCTTTATTGAAAACGTCGAGAGCGTTATATAATTAATTTCATGGCAAAACAGTGCATTATATCCAGTGAGGCGTAGATAATTCAAATTCGTCGAAAAACCTTTTATTTCCATCGTCATATGTGAATCATTTAACGCTTTATATTGTTTTTCTTTATAGGATATTACTCAAGTGGATATGATGGATACAGAACGACGAATACTCTAGGAAAGCCATACGGTTACAGGGGGTATGGCTACTCAAGTTACAAATGAGAGAAACAACGAGGAAGATGCACCATTGAATAAAATGTGATGTTAGATTTAAGAAACTCCCTGTACGAATTAAATTGTATTTATTTGTTAAGCTGCCTACTTTAGAATTGCGACAATAATACAAAAATCAAGAACAAATACTTAATAAGTGTAATTAATTCTAATGTTATAATAAAAAGATCTGTTAAATATAATGCTATTTTTTTAACAACCCCAAAATTATATATTTTTGACAGAATCTAATAAAATAATTAATAGAATTTTTCTGATCCTATCCACAAGTTTTTAAGTGGTTTATCAGCACAATTTAGGTTGAAACTTTGGTGTTAAAATGACAGAATTTAACTCGATTGTCAGATAATCAGATAATATAAAATTTAATGACAATACACCAAATCACTTTTTTTCTATACTTATCACTTTACCGTTAGCGTCATCAGCAGAATATAAACATTGTGTGTGCACTATATGCGCATATTTGAAGTGAAACTTCTTCTTATTTCTGTCTGTCTGTCTGTCTGTCTGTCCGTCAGCCCGTCTGTCCGTCAGCCCGTCTGTCCGTCAGCCCGTCTGTCCGTCAGCCCGTCTGTCCGTCAGCCCGTCTGTCCACCTAAGGACTCCATTCGGGTATCTCTATCCACGTACCGAATTTGGTTCTAATCGACCCATAATTAAGAAAAATCCTGATGATTTCGTCCATTTAGAGATATCGGTTTGAAACGTCCAGGGGGTCATCCTGTAGCACGTCCCCAATTATGCCGAAATCGACCCACATTTTTCTTCAATATCAAATCCTTCTATTTAGTATTCCCAGTACTGGCTCTGGACCAAGATATGATGTCGATGATCCTTGCTTAGCTAGCTCATCGGCTTTTTCGTTGCCGTGGATGCCGCTGTGGCCCGGCATCCAGAATAATTTAATTCTGTTCCTTCGTGCCAGACCTCCCAGTTCACCTAGGCATTCCCAGATGAGTCTCGACGATACCTTTGGGCTCATTATGTACAGCAATGGTATTAGAACAATATCTACTATATCAATTTCAAATTCAAATTTTATTAGACCCCATTAAGTTTTACAGATTAATAATTATTCTTAATATGTGTGTCTAAAGGGATCGCACCGCGATTAAAAAAACGATACAAAGACACGAAGTGCCAGAGTGGTGCGACCCCAAAAACAAAATAGAAATAAATTAAATTATAAAAATAAACAGAAATTAGATAAAAAAAAAGTGAAAATATAATTTTATCAGGGATGAGCGGAGATAAGCAAAGAGGCATAAAGAAACAGTGTAAAAACCGGAACAGCAGTCAATGACGGGCATATCAGAAAAACAAGAACCTCACAAATCAGTCAAAGAAATTATAATTTTTACGAATTAAGTAAATGATTTTTAATTTGTTTTCTATAATCTGTAAAGGATTGAAATTTAAATTTATTAGAAATATTATTCCACAAATGTGGCGCTATGAAACTGAAAGATTTTTGGAAGTTGGCAGTTTGGTGTTGAGGAATTTTAAAATAATGCACTTGCCTAGTCGAATGATCATGATCAACGTAGTGAAATAATGAGAACAAATAGGGAGGCTGCTCTGTAGTTAAAATTCAGTATGAATAAGATGATCATCTTCCAAATGATGGTTATGCTTATACAGGGTGTCCCAGAAATAACTGCAAATATTTTAAGGGGTGGTAGATCTCGATAAAAGAAACATATTTTCTCTTTATCGTTTTTCAAATAAGTCCAAAATAACGGAGTTATTTTACTTTGAAAATTTCCAAAAAAAATGATTTTTTGCTAAAATTTTGAAAACCACTGGATATTTTCAGGATTTTCTTTCTTGTAAATTTAATCTAATACCTATGTTGCCATATTATCAAGAAATTATGTTTTTTAACTAAAAACTAAAAAAAATTCCAAAAAATTTTTCAAAAAATTTCGAATTTTCAAAATTTTTTTTCGCGAAAAAAAACTCATAGGCGTGTTTCTGGGGTTGAAATATACTACCAGTTAAAATATTCGCACTTATTTCTGGGACACCCTGTATACAGTGTGTCAATTTTAAAACTTCCCACCCATAATATCTTTCTTGCAGTTAAAAATATGAAAAATCGGAAAGACACGTCAATTTTATTAGTAAGGGGGACACTTTAAATTAATATTTTTGGTCTTTTTCTTTCAACCCCTAGGAGGGGTAGATGTCACCTTTACAATCCTAAATGGGAATGGGGGTCAAGTGGCACATAGTTTTAAAGGGCGTTTAATTCTCTTTTCAGTGGTATCCTACTTTATTGCTTTTTATCCAGAGGTTTCCGAATAATCGCGTTTCAAAGTTGCAGAAACAATTAAACGTGCCTGCATTGAGATTTTGGTTTTCAGGTTAGTGTTTACACAAAAGTTATTGCAATGGATCTCCTGTAGTACAAATGATTAGAAGGTTAGGTTAAACTACTTACGCCCTATCTTATAAGTTGTTCAAAAAGTTGTCCATTTTCCTGTAAACAGTAATAAAGTCTGTTTTCAAACATCTCCATAACATTTCGGAAAACTTCACCGGGAATTGACTGGCATTCTGCTGTAATTTAAGATCATCAATATCAGTAGATTGTGTTTTATAAACAATAGATTTAAGATGTCTCCCCAAAAATACAAAAGTCTAAGTGGTCTTGAAAGCCATTCAATTGGTCTCCTTCTGCCAATCCATGTACCCGAAAATCTCTCGTTTAACCACTGTCGGACCGCAAAAAAATAATGAGCTATAGCACCGTCCTGCTGGAATGTCAACAAATCCTCTGATCCTGTGAAACTGATTAGAGGTTGCCACTCATTCGAATTTGAGAAAGGAAACGTTAATGTTTATAATGATTTCTGTTTATTAGTATTTCGAATTTCGACCCCCTAGAACAATGTAATGGCTACGTCCTTGTTACCACCTAATCTTCTAGTCATTTGTACTACAAGGAGATCTACTGCAATAATTTTTGTGTAATCACTAGCCTGAAAACCAAAACCTCAATGCAGGCATGTTTAATTGTTTCTGCAACTTTGAAACGCGATTATTCGGAAATATCTGGATAAAAAGCAATAAAGTAGGATATCACTGAAAAGAGAATTAAATGCCCTTTAAAACGATGTACCACTTGACCTCCATTCCCATTTAAGATTGCGAGGGTGACATCTACCCCTGCTAAGGGGTTGAAAGAAAAAGGCCAAAAATATTCATTTAAAGTGTCCCCCTTACTAATAAAATTGACGTGTTTTTCCGATTTTTCATATTTTTAACTGCGAGAAAGATATTAAAGGTGGGAAGTTTTAAAATTGACGCACTGTATGTATTTTGTGGTTACCCTCTACATAATTTTCAGCTCATCTATCCAAATAGTATCACTTTTATTACTAAACTGGGAATAACAATTGGATAAATGATTATTTAATTATTTTCAAGATTACCCTCTGTTACACCAATGAAACTTAATGCATCTAAATAATTTCGTTTTAAAACAGAGAATAATTACATAATATTAAAAACTACATGCCTAAATTCATAAAAAACTATGAATAGATATCATTACAACGAGATATTAAAAAACTATTTAATGAGGTCAGTTTTCCATATAAAGAAAAATTTGAAACAGAAAACGAATAAAATATTATTTGCAATATGGTTCAATAAAAGATTTCATAACGATAGGCCTAAAAAAGTCTTTGTCGTGGGATGCATTCGCAAATTAGGTTTTGAGGCATATAGTTCAAACGTAGGCCTTAAAAAATTGATGAATCACAATGAACAATAATTATAATAATTAGTATAGGTATCAAACAAATCAATATACACTCTTTACCTTTCTAAGGAACTTATAATTTAAATGATATTTCAAAATAAAACATTATACAGCCAGTAAAGAAGTTACTTATAGAAAATCAAATTGGTTAGTTTCATAGGAGTATTACTATGAAAGGTGTTATTCTTTTCTGAAACAGTCAAATTACAACAAACAAGCGAATACTAATAAGTGAGTCATATAAAACTAACAAAACTAGGTGAAGCATTTATAATAACATATTTATAGTTATTTATGTAGAGACAATGGTCAACTTTATAAAAATACATTAAATGGCTTCTTAAAAAACACTATATACTTTCAAGCTGCACCCATATTCTTTGTTAATAGATCAAATATAATAATAAGTATATCGTCAAAAAGAAAATTAAGGTCAAGCTATGGGACTGTCTTCAAAAGAGCGCGCCATAATATCGCACGCGTTTTTCAAAAACCCCAATGACATAATGCCTTATGTAAGAAAGTTTTGCAACACTCTCTCTTTCTTGGGGCGCCGAAGAAATCCCACGTTGTACGATCTTAAAAACAAGAATAATCTTATTAAGTCAGCGATGGCATTCATTTTCAACCGAGATTTCAATAATGCAAATACGTTAGGTACGGTTCTTTTTAATTTCCTTGTTTTGAATTTTCCTTAGTTTTTAGTGAGTGATAAACCAAAGAAAATGATACTAAATGTAAGTATATAGAAGTATTAATTGCTTATAGGTCATAAAATATTTCTGTATTGTTGCTAAAATAGATGTAACTGAAATAGTCCTGGAAATATTTGCTGAGACTTTGCTGAGAAAGGCGTATACGATAACTATTTTTTTACGTATAATACATGAATTTAGAATTTCCTACGAATATGGTGTTTTGGGTTAAAATTTCTCTTTTCCCTCTGGACCTCAAAATTTTCCACGAATCGGGAAATTTTCCACGAGTTGGCATTACTGATTCTACCATAAACCACCTATTATCTGTGTTTTAATGAGTCCTAGATGATAGAAATATTGGATTTTAAAAGTAGCAACTTTTATGAACAAATTCAAATAATTTTTCCATCCAAAACAAAGTTAATAACAATACACGAATAATATAATAATGTAACAATGGATTTTTTACTAACAGAAAAGGTATGACAAAAGCAATAATTAGCAATTTTCCACAGATAATAAAGAATCAAAATTCAGTATTATGCATAAACAATAAATAAATAAAGCAAATACTTGAAACAAATAAATAATAATAATAGGTAGAAATATTTAATTAAATCTAATTAATTCATAGGTGTGCTTTGTGAATCATTTTAGATGCATTAAATTATAAAATAAAATAGTTTGTTACATTTTAGTGTCTCACGAATAGTGAGTAATATTGAGGGAGATATATATTACATAGTAGATTATATAAAATAAACTTTATATCTTTATTTTCATACCTACCTTGAATAATAATATATTTGGTTATGCCACGTACTATAAATAATACTTAAAGAAATAGTTGAGCACTAATAAAAACCTCTATAAAAAATAACCTCTACAATTATTTTTGAATGCATCAATCATGGTGTACTTCAAAAAGAATTTATTTCTCCCTAAAAGCTGTGAAAATATAATCTATAAATTTAAATATTGTCTAAAGCCATTACTAAAGCCTGATTTTCCTGCAAAACAATTAAAAGACTTAATAGAAATCGAATATACTAATTTTACATTGCATGTCAAAACTCAAACTGCAAAAATACTATGTAATTTACGCCAATACAGCAAATGAAACGGTCTACTAAACATATAATCAACTAGCTAACGCTGTATTGTTTGATAAATTATCTAAACCTTATGCGACATAAAATTAATTTGGAAAATCCAAAACGAGTAATTTGAAAGCAATAGGTATTTTGAAAGTTAGTTCAGAGGACTTAATTATAAATAGGAAAATTATAAATATAAGTAGCCCCCCCCTCTAAAATAAAATCGAGAGAACGAGAAAATTAAGTAACTATATTAAAAAAATTACAGAAAATACACTCACACAGACAGATGTATTAAAATGATCATTAGGTTTATCTCAAAAATATGTAAAAAGTGCCATAGGAAATAATAATTGATAAACATAGCATAAGACAACTAAAAAATATGTCACTACTGGACTAAAAGACAATATGAAACAAAATTTCACAATAAAATCAACATCACTAATGCCGTAGAATCACTGGAAGATCTATTTGATAAGGTGTTGAGTGATGGGCTAAACTTCCGGTCAAAAAAAATATATAACCTATTTTCTATTGCGACATCCTCAGTGGCGAATTAAGACATATTTGCGCCCTAGGCTAATAAAAATATGGCGCCCATACCCCCCCCAATTTTATTCTTAAACAATCTATTGTTATTGAGGAGTATAGCTGAATATTTAATTTTTCACTACTTACTTAGAATGGGCCTGCATTTAATTCGTGTGGATTAGCTCAGTGGCGGACTAAGGATATTTCTGACCCGGGCCGGGGCGGACTTTATGTGGAGACCCGTACAACCTCACAAAGACGCCGCGCCGGCGGTCTTTTTTGTTTGCGGCACTTTGTCGATAAATATCAAAGGATTATCGCGACAATGGCAATTTCTGCTCCAATTATTTTTCTTCGGCTCCCCAGGCTATAGCCTAGTTAGCCTATTGAGTAATCCGCCTCTGGACATCCTGAAGTCTTATTTATCCTAGAGATGCATAAAGCAAATGTTCGTATTTCGTATTAATTTTACGAAAACAGTAAACATTCGCCAATGTACCTCACCTCAATAGCCTTTCGATTTGTCAATACAACTAAAATGCCAAGATATGGTAGAACATGCATTTCAAATTTCAAACAATAAAGAGGTGTTCTGGATTTAATATTTTTAACAAAATGTAACAGAAAGAAAATCCTTGCCAAACCTATACCGGGTGCTTCTCAAAAGTGGCCCACCCCAACTTTTTTATTTTTACAGATAAAAGAACGAGATTTGGTACATAATATGTTAGTATAAGACATAAATCCGGATTGACTGATGCATTCAAATGTTTTCGGTCACTTCCTGTTTCATCAGAAATTACTACAATTTTTGATTTTTAAATGACACCCTCGGAATTCATAATTTATTTACTGTTTAGATAGAAAATTGCACTCTGAATAAATTGACCCTTTCGCATATGGTTGATATCATGTTTATATGAAATTGTAACATGCCGTTCATAACGACAATTTCCACCCTCGTTCCATTTGGAACAATTGAGATATAATTAAAAATACGATTTGAGCATCTATTAAACGGCCAGGACAAGACACTAAAAACGATCAAATAATATAGATAGACGATCAAATCTATTTATCCAAGGCACCTTGATTAAAAATTAGTGTTTTTAACACAGCCGTGCACACAGATTGAAATTTAAAATACATCTTTTTAAGCGAGAACGTCAAAAGTTTACATATGGTATGTCATTCTATTCAGAGTGCTGAGTGTCATTTTTTATAAAATAAAGCACAAAACATCCCCCTTTAGAACTTTTTCTTTAATGGCCATAAGCGGGAGTAAAAGCCCAACCGCCCGAACAAACACTAGAGGCGCCACCGGTCATCAAATGGTGTAAAAATTGCGAAAATTTAATCATCTAATTTTGACACAAGGAGTCGCGCTTAACTTTTTCAATTTTAATTCAATATTCATTGTTTTCAAACTATATTATTAGACTTTGTTTTATTTTGTGAATGTATAAATGTTTTCTTAGTATAAAGTTGCATTATAGTAATTTAAATTACATTACATACATATTTAAGATTCAAATATTATGACATATATGTCAGTTGCCGTCTAAAATGTCATCTTGATAACAAAAAGTTGTTTATTGTCAAAAGTAGTTAAAATCATGTTAAAATATTAAAATTTACAAGTTATAATTAGATATTTTATATTATTTCAACAACAAACACATAATAGTACAGCGTAATGTTGATATGCAGGTCCAGAACAAAAAGTGCCGTTATATTTTTCAGTTTTCGTTGTCAGCCGCGGAAGTTTCAGTGATTTTAGTGTTGTCGGATATTTTTATTTGTAAAATAGAAATATTGCGTTTGGATTGCAAAACTAAAAGTGGAAGTTTTATTGCAATGTAAGTAAGCGTTTGTCCATTTTATATTTTACTTTTTTCATACCTACGACAAATATACATATATTGAAATTTTATAATTCGTTTTATTTAAAAAATGTTAGAAAACAAGCTTGTAATCCTGTAATTGACATAATTGTTATGTAATATATTCCATTTAAATGTAATATATTACTTTACAATTAAAAAAATGTAAATTTAAAAAACATATTAAAAATATATAAATAACAAACACGAGAGGCGCTTTATTATTTACTTTCATTTCTTAACATGACAGACGAAGTTCTAAAGGGGGATGTTTTGTGAAATAAAGTAAAAAATAACGAGGGTGCCGTTTAAAAATCAAAAGTTGTAGTCATTTCCGGCGAAACAGGTAGTGACCAAAACAAGTAAATATGTCAATCTCAATCAATCCTAATGTATGTCTAAAGGGAAATTAAAATAACTTTGGTTTCACATCATAATACGACCACCAGCAAATTCCATAAGACGACGCATGGTGTCATTGATGACGTGCACCGAAAGTTGTTTTAATTTCCCAAATCTAAACAAATGTCTTATCATAGTCCATGAACTATGAAAATTGAAAAAACAAGTTGAAAAATTAAACAAGTGGTCTTTACGTTCTGATAAATAACACAACACTCGAAATAGAAGAAAATAGGTATACATTGAAACAAGAAGTGACCGAAAATAATTGAATACGTCAATCAATCCTGATCCAAATATAATAAAGTACTCCAAACATACTAACGTAAAGAATCTCGTTTTTTATCCGAAAAAATAAAGTTATAGGGGTGAGTCATTTTTGAGAAATAGCTGGTATATGAAATATATTGTTTGATATTAAGATTTTTATATTATGGTGTTGTTGCGTTACCAATATCTACATATGAGCCTTGTTTATAAATTCATATACAAGGATATGAGCAATACTTTAGTTTATATTTAATTGGGTTAGAAAAGCTTCTTTTATTTTTCGTTTAGAGGCTATTGGGTTTTTCATTATAATATTTTAATTTTTAAATAATACATACTTCTTTGTGAACACATAAAAGTAGACTTTAACAATGAAATAATTATTATAATGAAAGAAATTATAATTGCAATTTAGTATTGGATCGGCAGATGTGTAGATAATAATATTATACGGTCAAATATAAACGGCGTCAGAGATGGCTTGGAAATGAGGACAGCGGCGGATACAGAGGGGGGCGCATGAGGCTCCGCCCTCCCCTAAAATCTGTAAATTGGGTTAACCATTAAGCTTTTGGGTTAAAAATGGCGCCCTAAAAGGCATTTTCTATATTACTTTTGATTTGGCCCTCCTAAAATAAATTCCTGTATACGCCCCTAAATGAAGATAACTCTCATTTTATATGTTAAATTTATAAGGGATTCACCCGGCAGTACCGCAACTATAAAAATATTTTTCCAGAAATTGCAAACCACAAATCCATCATCAAGGCTTATTTTTAATATGTTAAAGTCACACATTGTAACAGACGCACATACATCTGAAACTTTTATTCGGTTTGATGCACCTGGGATT